CATATATTGGGGGTGCATGCTCAAAAACTTTTTACTGATGTGGTACGCAATCAAAAGAGTTTGGAGACCACTGTTTTAAGGTATTGAAACTGCACTTCGTATCTTGAGCAAGCAAGAAAGCACCTTGAGTACATAGCAAGCATTAGCTCTTGGATTTAAAAAAAAAATCTAGTTTCAAAAAGAACATGAAGAATCCAAATTAACACACAATCAAGTCATAGTAAATACAGCCTGTGCTGTATATTGGATATCAACTGTGTTGCTTTGCTCGTCAATCTGGCTATGAACTACAGGTCTGATCTAGCTCCCAGCATCTATTCTTACTCATCTGTATGCACACAGCTTGTCCCCTTACTCGCAGGGTTGTTTGATTCTCCTACTACTGACTGTGTCTTGGGCCAGCCTTTCAGCTTATGTGATTCAGTGGATCATTGAGTGTTTATCCCACCTGGCAATCTGGCTCCATTAATTTCTTTACCTGTCTGTAATGCTGTGTTTGGGACAAAGAACTTCCCACCTTCAGGAAAAGTTCTCCGAAAACATACACGTCCCTTACAATGCTCAGTCACTGAATTTGTGCGCATAATATTTGTCACATTTGAAATCGGCTCCTCGGTTAAGATCCTTGATGGACTTAGAGGGTCCAGCAGAGTACTTGCTTTCCTATCAAAGGTTACTAATAACTAAAATAGTTCAGTATGCCGTGGCTATACCTTGCTCCCTCACATGGAGGCAAAACTATTAATCAATCCATTCCCACCATCCAGTGCTCGAGAGAACCTGTAGGATGCATCCATCGTCCTGGTGGCACCAGAAGAAAATGGGAGTATGGGCATATGGCAGGTCATGGCACTCCAGTTCTCGTGATTCTTTCACAACATATTGGCTGTGCTTGGTGGTACAGCCACGTAGGAATCCTAGCCACCTCCATGGACAGGGAGGATGCTCCAGTAGTTTTGAGTGCAAACCTGAGGCCCAGGTTGCCCAGGTTCACCCTCCTTTTCTAGACTTCTCTTGTGACCTTGGGCAAGTTAGTCTCTTGCTTGCCTCATTTCCCCAAGTGCAACAGAAAAATAATTGCACTTTTCTACTTTATACAGGTGTTGTGGGGCTAGATGCAGCATGGGTAGTGAGTCCCTCAGCTATTAGGTTTGCTAGCTGGACTGTAATAAAAATGAACAGCAACGGTATCCTCTTGACCCGCCCCAAAGTCATTCTACAAAGCTAATCTAATGCAAAACTATCCCTTGTGTAGCTCACTAATGCAAGACACCTGGTCTATTTTGTACCAGAGATTTGCTTCTCTGGAAAGCACCTCCCCCCAGCCCATAAATCTTCCAGAAGTACCTGTAAGCCCACATAAAATGGGCCTTGGACACTAGGATGTGTTTGTTCCACTTGATTTTGTTGTTGTTGAGCCTTATGTGAACTAACCCAGCAAGAAAGGAAAACTAATACTAACTACTCACCATATGTCCATCTCATTTCAAAATGCACCAGGTATTTTAGTTTTTATGCCCATCCAGGAAGATGCATCCTGGAGTCTTGTCTTGAGACCATATGCAGCAGACTCTGTGTTGTTCCATCCCTTGACAATTTGGAAATCTTAGTATTTGTGGGCTTTCAGTCTGAGTCAGTACTCTGTTGGCAAGTTTGTGCTTCTTTTTAGTGGAGATCATTGGTCTGGGGAGAAAGAAGCAGTCATTAAAACAATGCATCTTAACATGGGAAAAGTTAGGAACATCACCTGGCCCCTTCAGCACCCTGAATCTTATAAAGCATTACTTTATAAAGTTTATAACTTTTCCCCAGCTATAGCAGAGAAATAAAAATACTCATTTCTAATGTAATAAGCATTACAGTGAATTGGCCTAAGCATCCTTGTATTGTTTGCTAATGATGCTAAAATCCATGAAACATGGTGCATTATGGCTAGTCATATACAGCTTTTCTACTTGCAAGTTTCCCATTTTCAGTGGATAACTTAAAAAAAAAAGTCTCAGTTTTGGTCTTTGTTTCATTTCAGCCTGAAAGTATTCTTGTTTACAT